TAATAGAATTGGTTGAGCCAGATTGATGTTAAGATGAAGAAGAGCTCGATGAAGACTGCTCCGAACGGAAGGATTCCTCCAATCAGTATTGAAAACCCAGGTTTCATGTACCAAGGTTGTTCTGGTACTTGTCTTGGGATCTTGTTTGTTTTGACCGGGTCTTCGATTGCTGGTTTTTTGTAACCGAGATAGCTACCAATGAAGACTAGCGGGACAGAGATTCCAAACCAGAGACAGAACAGAGCAAACATTGTACCAAAGGGAATGGCTCCGGATGATTGTTCTCCCCATATGAGTGTGTTGAGAACAAAGAAGATTGCAAAGACGATACCGGGAAACATGAATGCTGTCTTTAAGGTGATTCCTTTCCACTTGTCCCCTTTGAACATTTTGTAAAGACGAGAAGAGGAGTAACCAGCGAAGATGCCCATGAATACCCATACAAGAACCATAGCAGTCATGAGCCCTCCTCTGTTGGATGGAGATAAGAAGCCCAGCAATGCAAACATCATTGTCACAAGGGTCATACCGAATATCTGAACACCCGTGCCGACGTAAACACATAGTAAACTAGAGTATACGGGCGTCCTAAAGACATCTCCATGCACAAGTTTCCATCCGGTTTCTTCCTGAGCCTCGTCTTGGGTCTCGAGCTGATTGTAGTTTGAAATATCCTTGTATAAAGTTCTCATCATGATCATCGCCACCATTCCAGAGAGGAAAAGAACAATCATAAGCGAGTTAATAATCGAAAACCAGTGGATTTGATCATCGTTCATTAGCAAGTACGTGTCCCATCGCGAAGCCCATTTGATATCACTCTCCTGCATATTTTCAAAAGTCATAATATGTTTACAGAGAGCGAATAACAAGCTCTCATACGTAAATTAGTTACCTTAAAGGTGACATCATACGTAAACACAATTTCTTTCCCTTCCTCGATTTCTTGAGGAACAGTGTTGCTTTGGATCAGATTCTTTGTGTCTTTGTTGCATGTAGTTAACTGAGGATTATTTTCATCCCACTCTTTGTATTCATGCAATATACTAATCCAAAATGAGGAACAAAAAGTTAGCTTATAAGAATCGAGACATATCAGACTCTCCGATAACATCGAGGATAACCAGTAGATAATACCTGTTAGGAGTAACCTCAAAACCAACAATTCGAGAAGAATCAGACTCTTCGTCTTTGTGGTACATGACTCGGAAGCTCAAGTGGTTATAAATAAAGTATTTTTCCTCTTTACTCTACAAAAAACCAAAGCAAACTACTCCTGATTAGTACAAGAAAATACACAAAAGGTAAGACTGTACTCATATGCTTTAGAGACATATTACCCCTTCGTAACTCCCTTTGAAGCCAACACGGAAACCATGTTCATAAGTCGTAGATTGAATTCCATCTCTTCTTTGTCTAAGAACAGCTACCGGAAGATTATCAAGAATCCTGCGTAGTCATACAACAACAAAAATTCGAAAAGATAACTCGAAAAACACCTGACACAAATCAAGAAAAGCATATACACAAACTTACATATTAGCTCGGTATTCATCATCGATCTTTTCCCTGAAATTTTTCGCAGACTTGGCATCGACTTTAACACGACAACCTACTCTACAAGGCTGATCCTCCAACATTTCAAACTGAAAAAAAAAAACAGAATCCAAACTCTCAAAACATAAAGATGATACGAGACTAAAGGTACAAAGGATTCAGAAGAGAGAAAGCTTTTTTTTGCTTACAGTATAAACCGAATTCTCGATACGATCACCTCTAAGAACCTCTCCCAAATTCTCTCCAGTGTTCAAGATCTTAGTAGGCTTACAGTAATTCAAGTAGTAGTAATCATAAGGAAGTTGAGTCTTCGTTGATGATAATTTGTTCACTTTAACATATAGAGGATCACCCTGTACTTCCAAAACATGTAAATCAATTACAAATTCATGAGCTCAAAATCTTCAATTCGAATCAAGGATCCTTCGACAATACTAGAAACGCAAAATTTTCGATCTGGATTGAATTAGAAGCCAAAGCAATGCGTAGTTATAATCGGAAACCCTAGATCGATAACGTAATCAAAACGTGAGATCGGATTGAACCGAGAAGAGTACCTTTTGGAAATCGCGAGGAGCGACACCGG